CCCCCCCCCCCCCCCCGCTATATTATAGAGCATGATTTCTTGCTCGGTAACTGGGAGCTGAAAGCGACAGGTGAATTCAGGAGCTGTGGTGCAGTGCTTTTGCTACAGCTGAAATGTATTAAACAGATTCATCAAAAAGTGGGGGAGGGAACAGCCCTGTGCTCCACGTACCTGACCTTTTGGAACGTTTTTCCACTAGAACCGTTGAAGTGGCTCAGAATTCATAGAAAACCTGCCAGTTTTTACATGCTTTTACATAAAGCTGCCTGGTAAAGGACAGTGTAGTCTTACTAGTTGTTAGATTACCCCTCTTGCTGTGTCTCTGTAACTTGGGAAATGAACATGTTGTGACATGGATCTGTACATTTTTTGTCATCTTCTGTTCCTTTATTTGTGCACCTTTCCTTTTTTTTTTTTTTTTTTTTTTCTCTTCAAGTCTCAGCAAGAAACCGTCTGGAATTTATTCCAAGTATTCTTATGAATGACCATGACCTTCCTGGGTTGGAGGGTATCTTTTGTGTCTTCTCTGTACTGAATATTGTTTTGAAATCATTAATCCTGTGTCTTACAGGCAGTGTGTGTTGTTCTAGAGCTGACCTACTAAGTTGCATTGATTAATATGATACATGTTTCAATGAAATATTTAATAAATGGAAGATTTTATTTTTCACTTGTTGAAACCCAAACAACGCACGTCTGAGGTATGCACTAGAGAAGACTACGTGCTAGAATATTCTTAAATCATGATTAGTTTGCATTAGAAACATTTTAATACTCCTCTGGCAGTATACTCTGAACATTTTTTTTCTATTTCCTGTAGTTTTACAGGTTTCAGAAATCAGCTTGACACTAATTTTAGTGTTGGAATTGATTTGAATTGAATAAATGAGAGCACAAGGAAAATGTTTTTTCTTTAAATATCAGGATTGTTTTAACTATAATAGTTTAGTCTATGCAACTAGGATATTTTTTTTTTTTAAATTCACTTTTGAAAAAATTTTGTCTTAGGTTCACCTTCTATGTTAGGGAGTTAAGTAAATAAATTAAAGCAGAAATAATCAACTTCCTAGCAAACTTTCTAGCAGCTTTTCAGTACCATAGAGAAATTTTTTATTCTCAGTATTTAGAGAAAATTATACAAACGCTGGTGTTCGCTTTTTGATTTTCTTCTCTTAACAAAGTCACATTTAGCTGAAGGTTTTTGTTTTACCCGAGGAAAATTTTTCAATGATTAGATAAAAATGGCAGGAAGAGGACAGGTTCCAAGTAAAAGTAAACCCCCAAATTATGTAGGGGCTGGTCTTCAAAGGTGTGTAATTATTGGAAGATGTAAACGATGGTGTAGTGGAAGATTCAGAAGCAGTGGAGCAGGCTAGATGTCCTCTTCCCAAAGTTAATATAGTCAGCATAGTCCAGCTTTCACTCAGTTTACTACATAGGAATTTTTCCTTTATTTGGTAAATCCAATAGTTTTAAAAGCAAAGCGTGTTTTTTTGATAAACTCTTTTTATGATTAAGATTCCAGCACATCTAAGTTTCATTTTTATTAGTGGAATTAACTGTAGAATGCTGTTTTCATACACTGTGAATTCCGGTTTTCATCCAAATGCTGCCTGACACAGATCCAAAGGAAAAACTATTGTCTTGTTAAATAAGGAATGTGCCTTTCACCATTTTGTAATGTACTAAACTTAAAAATTAATAATCAAAATAAACATCTGCTTAACTATGTAATTGCTAGAATGACTATGAGATATATTGGCTAGAAAAATCAGTTTGTAAAAGTTGAATTTGGTTGTAAACCATGTTATGCAAACCAACAATAGTGATCCTTTCTTCTAGAAATTAAATACTTCGGTGCACAAGAAGATTAAAATCAGCTGTATAAGTTAGGTTTCCTGCTTTCTTTTATTCATTTACAATTATAACTGTTTTTTTTTTTTTTTTTTTTTCTTTCTTTTTTTTTTTTTTTCTTTTGGTCAATACCTTGATTAGGTGTGCGTTTACACCCCTACAAAAACCTTCTTGATTGGATTCCTAGATTTTGGTGGTACTTTGCAGATTTGTGCTAAGAGGTTAATCTTGGAATAAGACAAACTGATAAATGCTGTATTGGGAAGTCAGTTCTTCTGAGAGGTGATTCCTCTGTCAAAGCTGTGTGCGAATGATTTTAATTCTGTTCCTGCATAGAAACTTTTTGAAGTCCAGCTCTTTGTTCCAAAGATATGCTGACATTAAATGTTTAGACTATTGGTTGTTTTGTCCATGCAGTGAAAGAAAGCCTGGCAGTGCTCTAGTTCTTCAAGGTGTAAAATTAGGAACATCCTTTACGTTGTATGTTTTTCAGTGACTACTAAAAGTTTTAGCTTTGGGTGCTGTTTCTTCTCCTCTTGTGGCAACTCTGTGTTCAGCCAGTAATACATATTCGAATAGTGTGTTTGTGAGGGCAGCCATTATGCGATTGAGATCTCAATCCGGAGCCAGCTTCGTGATCCCAGTGTTGTAATAGTTGCAGCCTCTTTTGAAGCCTTCCCAGTCATACATGCCTTAGTACAGCACTGAGAAGGTTTTTAAATAGATTCATCAAAACTTGGAGAGGCAAAGTGGCAGCTCAAATAATAGCCTGCTATATGCAGTTTCACTGTATCTGTCTTTATTAGATAAGGAATGTGGAATACTGTCTTTTTATTGGTTATGTCATACATCTCAGGTAATTCATCTTAGCTTAGAATGTAAGGTATGCAGGAGAAATACTTTCAAGGAAGAAATGAGGAAACATGTTGTCCACGTCTGTAAAATCAACTCGACATTATTATTAGATTTGAATTTGAGGATCTAACTAGTTATCTAGTTATTAAGAGTCAAACATTTTGGTATGAAAAGAAATTTTATTCACCTTGTTAACTGTGCCTTGGATATATTTCCTCTTAGTCCTGGTCAGAGCCGCCCATCGATGGTCTCGTGGATGAATACTCCATCTGCTAACCCAGTTGCCACAAATACCACACCATCCGCTTTCTTCTTCCCTAACCCTGCCACTGGGAGTGACAGAGCAGGGGAAAGGTATGATGTACACTTCAACTTTTGCTTGTTATTTATCCATATCTTTTAAAAAATAGCTAATTCATGTATTCTTCAGGTTGTGAATGCAACCTTAGCAATTTTGATGGAATACAACAACTGCCTACTTTGTCTTAGTTTTTCTTTGAACACCTTCCTTGTAGAAGACACCCAAACTGAGCCAGTGATTTTGGTTAATACAGGCAGATTGATTTGGGTGGTCAATTCATAGTGTGTCTCTGCTGCAGTGATTTTCTCAGTGTCTTTTAAAATAAAAATTCTTTTTTTTCCATGGTCACCCACGTCAAATTTAAGTTTCTTAGTGTGTCCTTCTTGACTCTGAAAGACTTGCCCATGTGTTTACGTCTCTCTGTGGTTTCATTATTTTCTTTCACTCTTTTGACCATCCTGTTTCTGCTTCCTTCCATATTGTTTTCCATCTTTTGAAGTATTTTCACTTTTTTCCTTTGAAGGTCTTCATTATCTTAGCTTTTTCCTTCAAGTTTTATAGTATCTGCTTTTCTACTTACAGTAGCTGAGTATATTCATACATTCTTTTCAACACTTGGTAACAAAATTCCATTTCACATTACCGGTCACATTTTGCACCAGAACTGCATTGTCTGATTGACTGCAAGTTCCTTGGGGCAGGGAGTATCTTTCCCAGTATTTTATGTGTAGCTGTTGCCTTGGCTCAACAAAAGATAATTTAATGTTGTGGGTGCTGTGTCTAAACAAAGAAAGCATCACTGGGCAGCAGCAAGCTGTCAGTTCGCAAAGACGTGATTAAATAACCCGTGCCAAAAATATATATTCCAAGATCTCTGCTTATGGTATTTGGAGAAATAAGTACTTTGGACAAATTCATATTGATTACTGAGCATCCTGAGAACACCTCTAAAAGACTGCCTGAAATGTTAGAATTCTTACTGCCTTTAGGACAAATCAGCATCTTCAGTAGTCTAGTAATGTTGCATTGTAAACAAATATAAAAAGCAAATTCTGTACAGTGATAGTGGAAAGCTGAATTGCAAGATTCATGAGGAAACATTTCAGAAAATACAATGATGATTAGTCTATAAATTAAGTATAGTATGCTTTGCCTACTATTGATTTCATTGCCGATTAACACTTGGCAAAATTTTAACTGCAGTTGAAAGTCAGGTTTAACTGTCATAAAAATAAGCATGCATAAAGTTGGGAGTATGATATTCACAAATGCCAACAGTCAGCTGTGAAGCTTTAGCTTTGGCATTTTGTGTATATGAATTGCAAGCCTATAATGATGCATGTGAGATTGTGTTTAAAGTTTTAGTAATCTCTAAAGGAGAATGGAGAGAGAATGGTTGAGAGAGTGTCTTTATAATAGTAAAAAATAATTCATAATTTCATATTTCAGTGTTGCCCACCGAAAAGCAAGAGCAGTTTATCCATGTGAAGCAGAACATAGCTCCGAATTATCGTTTCAGATAGGAGCAATTTTTGAAGATGGTAAGTACTGCTTGAGTAAATATAAAGCAATGGAAAACAAATTGACAAAAGTGTTAAAATGGCTTTGGATAAAAATACAAGCCGAACTGCTATTCTGCCAACATTGCTGGTGGCACACAGTTGGTGACGTAGAAGATTTCTGGTATGCATAAGCTACTTGCATAAACTTAGCCCGTGAAGCAATGCCTTTGATTTCTGGTGAGTAGTCACTTTCAATTGGTCTAATTCTTCAGCAGCATTGAAATGTGTCGTAGTACCAAAAAATGTTGTTCAACAATAGAGAAAAACCATCTTGGCCTATGAAAATGTTTTTTTAGGGTTTTTTGAGATTTTTTTCTGATGTGAACTATTGTTGTAAAATAACGTATGGGATTCCATTTAAAGGAAAAAAAAAATTGTTTAAGGATTTTCAAGCAAACAGAGCTCCAAGTAAATCAGGTGATCACTCAAGGGAGAAGGGAGTGTTGCTTTTTTGGATCAAGGGGTGCTCTGGTGTGTGCGTGTACTTGTAGAAAAAGGAATATTCACCGAGGTGCAGAATGAAGGGCTGTGTGTAAAGATTTCTATGGGCCCAAATATGGTACGACATATGAACATCCAGAAGGTGATTCCTGAGCTCAAGACTGTGTTGCTCCTCAGTGAGCTTCCATGGCTCTACTTTTCAGCAACTGCACAGGGACTTCAAACTGATAGGGATGAAGTCTTTAGAGCTTATGCTGTAATACGAGCTCTGAAGATGCAGCAGATGATGTTAGAGCGTAGTTTCTTCTATAGTTTCTTCTATCACAGGGAAATTCCTGTTATAAGAGGTGGTATGGAATGGCTCAACAGGGCCTGGACAAATTCAGCAATTCTTGTTACTTAAATGTAATTTAATAATAATTCTAAGCGGAACTTAATTTGTAGCAGCAGCACGGTAAGACTGGTTTTTATTACAAGACCTTGATAAAAAATTGCATTCGCACTAAAAACCAGAAGACTCTTAAGTTTGGGCAAGTCTTCATCCAAGTTTTTTGTGCAGATGGGGGAAATCAAAGTGAACTGTTACATCCTGAAGAACCTTGTGACTACTGAGACCAGTATTTCAGTCTTTCAGTCTGTCTAGAGGCCGGGGGGTAGTAAGAGCCACACTGGCCTCTAAAGAATCTGGAAATTCTGCAGCAATGCCTGTTTTCTTCTCATCTGTTTTTAGCTTTTAGCTTGCTACCAGGTCAGAAACCTGATATGTGTTTTCCAGAGGGAAAGTGGCATTTAATTCTGCATGACCAAACACACTTAGGGGATGTATTGCTCAGTCATTCAAATACCACATGTGCGAACCTTTGGTTGGATGTCCAATAAAGGAGGAGTGTTCCCAATTCCCAGTTTACATCCAGCAGGAAAAAAGAGAAGAGTACATAATCTAATAAAACAGATGGAAAACATCAACCTACAGACATTAAAAAGCTAACTAAATATGTCTTCTGTTTCCTAAAATGTACCCTGTTAGCTCTGTTGTTAGCACTGGATCAAAAGTGTGTGTGGGAAAGTTTTTCTCATAAATGAAAACCTTTTTGTCTTATCCTCCCCAACCCCAGTAGAACGTTCCTAATTTGTTTAATGAGCTGAAACACTTGAGAAGTTCAGTGGAATCTTGTTGGGGTTTGGGTGGGGTTTTTTTTGGTTTTTGTTGTTTTGTTTTGGTTTTTTTTTTTTTTTTTAGCATGTATAACAACAACAAATCACACATAGGCATCTCCTTCCCCTTCTTTGTGATGCTTATTTTAAAGCAGATGGAGCATAGGCCATTCCTGTCCTCTGCCTCCTCCCAAACAAGTAAATAGTAAGCCTGGTTCAGAGTTCAGTTTGGGTTTTTTTGCAGCATAAGGTGGTCTGGGGTCTCCACTAGGTTCTTCCCTACTAGGCACCCACTTTACAAATTCATACTTGGTCTTTCCTATTAGAAAAGGCTTGCAAGCAAATCACAGCTGAATCAGGTTAGGTGGGAAACCTTTTAAAGATGAATTAGCTAAATGATTTCTTTTTTTAAAGTCTCTAATGCAAGTTATTTTAATTTAAGTTTTTTAAACCATGACTGATAGGGATCTTCAGCAGACATAAAACTCTTTACAGTAAAAAAAAATAGTGCATGGGGGAAAAGATCTGATGCATGGAAGAAAGGCATTCCTCATGCAGAACAGCAAGGGTTGCACACTTGATGTGTTGGCACGGGATAAGAAAGTCTTTCAAGAAGCAGTTGCTTCTGTGTCATGCGTTTGTGCGAGAGCAGTCTTAACATTCTTTTCTTGCACAAAGAAATCGCTAGAAGCTATGGCAAAGCTACCGTGGGTTTGGTGCATTATAGCCCCAGCTGAAATTTTCATCCAAAGAGTTGGGTTGTCCAAGAACAAGTACGGAATTTGACTCTTTGGCAGATGTGGAGAAATGTTTCAACTGTAAGACTCTTTTTCTATATCATCATACAGATATGGTTGGAAGCTTGGGAAAAGGCTATGTGGATTGCATTTGGAAAACCTAATTGCAGGTTTCCGGTGGGAAAGATCACATTTCCTTAAATACATTTGTTTTTATTTTTTCCACTGTAACCTGGTTATTTTATAGTCATTGTCCTTGTCCTGCAGAGCTTTCAGCTGAAGGTAGGCTGTGGATTGGCAGAAAAAAAGGAGGAGGAGAACATGCAAGTAATAAGGCAGTAACTGGATGTGTGTAATAACTTAATGGTCATTCCATAATGGTTCCCAACAGGTGATGCCGTGGATGGCTCTGTCAATATAGCAGGGTATTCTCATTGAGAGTGCAGACCAGTCTCTGTATTTGAAACCTCTGAAGTCCCTTCGCATCGGCCTTTTCTTCTTGAGCTAGGCACCCTTGTGTCTATGCTGGGATCAGATTCCAGTGAATCAAGTCAGGTTCTTCAGCTACTCAATTTAAATTCCCATATGCCCTAATAAAGGCCCCAAATGAAGAATTGATGTAATAATACATCAGTTCTGCAGTTCTACCAATAACCTTAACTATCAAAGTGACAGTGCATCAATCAAGTTGACATACAGCTAGTATCAACCATTAAAGTAACTGTTAAATTAATGTCTACTAAAAAGTGCTGCTTCCATTAGTGAAGGTTTTATCTGTCTTTCCTTTCTCCACCCTGCTTGTCTCACTTTTCTAATCCTGCCTCTTACCTCTCAGTGTTTGTTGAGTTTTTTCCTTTCACATTCTTCTCCTTTGTTTCCTCCCTGTTCTTCTCTTTTGTCCCTCTTGGTCCACAGAAGTTGATTGCAGCAGTTCTCTCTTACCTGTTATTACCCTGGATGAATCTTTCTGGCTGCTCTAGCCTGAGACAGGATAATGGCATTTAGTGAAGTCTTGCACCTGTCATAGCTGCTAAATGTAATATTGGTGCAAGAAGGTAAAAGTTTAACCTTTACTCCTGTCTCCATTTCTTGTTTCTAAATGGAGACAAAAATATCTGTTTGTGTCTCAGGCTGACAAGGTTAGATGTACTAATATTTTAAATTAAGCTTTACATCACCTGATAGGAATCTATATAGAATCTGAACATTTGCATGTTCAGGTGTTTTCAATACTCCATGTGCATTGTGCTGCTCTGAATCCCACGGTCTTTCCATTAAAGTGTCATAGAACATAAACGCTAAGGTGCCATCTGGTAAGTTAAAAAGAAAAGACAAATTTTTCTATTTAATTGAATTGTGTAAGAAAATGAGTAATGTAATCTGAACAATATCCACTGGATTTTTTTTTAATTTTTTTAATCTTCAATTCAATTTACCTTAGGCTGTGCCAATATTTTTATTTCCCAGTTGCTACAGGCTATGTTATTGACAGCACATAACAATAGAATTCAAGTGGTTAGAGGCAAAGCTTGGAGAGTTTGCAGATGGGTAAGGGCACATATGGGAAGAAGCAGAGTATGATCTGCGATTGAGACACATGTGCTGGCTGTATATTTTTGTGTTGAAGCCGATATTCCCAATAATCATGGAAAGAATACTCAGACTGCCTGGCATTGAAACCTTGCCAGCCTTGGAGCCAAATGTTATTAAATATCTGGTTCTTGAAAGAGACTACTTGTAAGTCAGTAAATGGGAATTTCACTAGGGAGTAGTGTTTTAGATAGGGTAAATGGTGTTTACACAACAAAATTCCTTGGCAGTATTTCTAGCAGGAAAGCTTCCTGAAAACTTGTCAAGATTGCTCTCATTAAGGCTTTTTACAATTTTTAAAATCAATTTTTTGGGGAGAGAAAATATGAGGAAAGCTGAGGGAGTGTTTTGTTATAGTAATTTTCCTCGGGAAAGGTGTGTCACCCATCATCCCTACAAAGCACAGAAGGAACACAAAAAGCTGTGTTCACGCAGCCATTGTCATCCCCCTCTTGTCTTTCCTAGTGTAACAAAGTGCCAGCCTTATTTGATGTCCCTGGTTTTCACTCCAAGGCACTCTCTTCCCTCTTACTCATGCTGTGGCTTCTGGACTGTCTGTCCTTATGGTACTGACAATTAGAGGATTTATACTGAAGAGATGTTATACTCCCAAAATATTGTATTGCACTGTATGTTCAAATAATTACGATGTTGAGGTTAAAATGAGGATAAAGCTACTTCTTAGTGCACCTTTCACCTGTGGATTTCAAAGCACTTGGAAACATTCATCTGCGTTAATTATCTCCGTTTTACATCTGGAGAAAATGAGTGTACATGCTGTGGACAGATGTTCTCCTTTTCAGATGCCTCCATACTGTTTGGAGGTAGTTACCCCAGGCTGCTGCTGAAAGTTACAGCCACTTCACCAATAAAAAGTAGCAGAAGAGCACTACCAAATTTCTGATTTTGCTAGAAGTTTGAAGAAGTCGTTAACCCATCTGATTTTGCTCCTGCCAACCGTGTTGTGGAAGCAGTGGTTTCCAGAAGAGAAATGTTAAAATGGAAGATGTTTAAACCGATTCATTTTACCTTACAGTTGGTGTATGTGCAGGACTGTCAGAGATGTTTGGCTGTCAGGTGGGATGGGAATCAACTCAGGAGAAAGAGCAGAAAGACCCCACCCAAGTCTCAATGTCTACACACAGGTCACTACGTTACAGCACAGGGAACTCAGCAGCAACTCTGCTAACCAACCTCTTGTCTCCGTTTTAGAGTGAGCCAAATTATTCTTTGGGTGCTCGCTCTATTCATTGTATTGACTAGATCTCCACCAGTGGTAATAGGAGGTTAGGAGCTATGTAGGAAAGTCTGTCTGCAATCTGAATTCCACCGCTCACCAATTTCTCACCATGTATCAGTGTGCTTTCATTCACAAGCCTGAGCCCTTATAGGCAGGCCGTCTTATTTGTGGTCACACAGAAAATCTTTAGCAGAGTCAGGAAGAAGACGCCTTGACTCCTAGCCCTGTGTGCTGTCCACCAGATAATTCTGCTTCTCACAACATACTTAAGGGAAACAGCAAGTTTTTAAATTTCAAATTCCATGCTAACCCTAAACATGATAAATGTTCGTGTATTTCTGTGGTCAACTTTACCCATAGGGATTGTTTCAAAACCCCGTAGGGATTTCTAAACACAGAGGGCTTGCAAATGCATTTTGTTTCGTTAATTGAATTTCTTAGTGAAACGTTGGCCGGCGTGATTGAGTTCTGTGGAAGTGTATTCTGGTGGTGTAGTGGTTTTAGCAGTGAAAATTCTGTTGCCCACAGAATGCAGTCCTGACTTACGTAGCTTGTTGGGGTCATTACTTACTTTGTTTGGTAAAGCAGTCCATCAGAAAGGGAGGCCCTCTAATGCCAGCCACCATGCATGTTAGATTGCCTCCCCTGTTTCTGTTACCCCCTGTAACAGCTAGTTTCCACAGAGGTGTAGAAATCGCTGTGGATCAGTGTCTGATTCAGTCCTGCTGAATTTAGTGGCACCTAGGCAATGAACTAATACTGCTGTGTAAATGAGTCTTGGTCTCATTTGTAGTCCAGACACATGAAACTTTTGAGTTGCTAAAGCAGAACAAGGTCTGCTTATAGCACTGAGTCTCTGGGAAGAGCTGATTGCCAATTCAGAGTATTTGCAGTAAAGATAGTAGTAACATGGGCAATACTGAAGCCACTTCCTATGGAGAATACAGAAAAATAAGAAGAAACACTGCAAATATCAAGTTGACCTTACAGTATTTCTTGATTAGATGAAATCAGAAAAGCTTTTACGTAAAGCATCTCATAGCAAGTTGAAAATGTGTTGATTTTGTTTGTCCATTTGAGGTGGTGTGATTGTTCCGTGGCGCTTGCTGTCATTCCTGATGGTCAGACATTTTGCCCTACACTTTGCCTCCACTAGAGCGAGACTGTTGAAATGGCCTGGCAGCAGGTATTGAGGAAGCTGCCGTCCCACTCTGGGCTCTCAACTTTGCTGCTATTTCCCCTGTCCTAAGAGGTGATTGGCTTTTGGTGGTGGTTCTCTGATTGGTATTGTTGTGCAGTCTTGCTGTATGCTTGTTAAACCTTGAGGAAAATATTTGTTTTTTAGTTCTTTGCTCTGTATCTTTTACACTACAAGCATTTTCCCCTCCTGTCCCTAGCCAATATAAGATTTAGTCCTATGGGATGCTTGGTCCAGTAATGAGTTGTAGTTTTAAGGCTAAATGTGTGGTTTCTGCAGCAAGGTATTTTTAAATGAGGCAGGCCTGAGAAAGTGTTAAGAACTGTAATCGTTGTTGACGGAGAAGAAATGACAGAAAGGGGACACTGTGGAACATCTCTTATTGAGCAGGATATTTTTTCAGAAATAGCCTGTGTCCTGGGTTTAAGAAGAGCTGTGAGATGACAACAAAATATCTTTGGTGTGGTAAACTGTTTTTTATTTTAAATAAATGCTGTTGTACACTAAACTGTGGGAATGGATTAGCAAAAAAAGCAGGATCATTGGAGCTTAAAGCAGCTTCTCCGCTGATAGCATTTGTCCGCAGAAGTAGTCAGTGATGTACGTGGGTGTCTTAACCCTTCTTGTGTGAGGTGATTTGAGTGGGGGCAGAAGTTCTACCTGACATGACACTCACCACTACTGCCGAACATTAAGAATGACTCCTTGCTTGTTTTTTAAAAAAGGCTGACCTCTAGAAATGGTGATCTTGCACGTAATCTAAGTGCTAATTCTTTCTTCAGTCTTCATAGAGTCTACAAGACACTTCTGCTAACAAGGAGGCCCTGAGCGTACATGTAGGATATTTAACTTTCTAAGCACAGAGCTCAGTTGTACCATCATGTCTAGTCTTCTGGAGTGAAAATGGCATTTTCACTCGGGTCTAATTGCTCAGCCATCATGCGTTATCTCTGAATGCACCCCAGTGTGCAGAGTTCAATAGTACGTTATCAAACTGGCTTGGAAAATACTTCTTTTGAAATTTGTTGTTGTGTTGAGTCCAGTGATTCAGCACAGTTTGAGCATTTCCTCCCCTGGGCTAATTTTAGGTAAATTTAAATTTCAGTGTGATCACCTCCGATGAGGCCTGCCCTCATTTTGAACAAGCATTTGATGTATAGACACTCAAATGCCAGTAATATCTATCCTCTCTCAAATCCACATTGAGGTTGAGCTCCAGAGGACAAGTAGAAATTTCCCACCTCCAGGTTTTCTAGTTGTTTTTCTTCCTAATCTGTCATTTTTTTTTGGAGTTTGTTTCCTGTAATACAGCTGTGCTCCATAGGCATGGGAGACTTCAGGGAGAGATTTGGCTGCCCGCTGGAGCGGCTGGCCTGTTTGCTGGGAAGGGTGGAATTCCGTCCGCTGCAGTGGAGCTGCTGGAGGGAGGTTTGTGGTGGTGTCAGCGATGCGGCTTCAAATGCATGTGTGCTCTGTAATTGTGGAATAAAAATGACAAAGGGAGAGGAGGGCCTGCTAATTACTAATAGTAATGTAAGTTACTGTATGCGCAGAGATCCTAAAAGGTAATTTTCTATGTTTTTTTTTGTTTTTTTTTGTTTTCCTTTGGAATCTTTCTGTCAAATATATTCGTTATAAGCCCAGACTTTCAATCTGAATCTAAACTATCAGTCTCATTTGAAAGCTTCTGGATTGTTTGGAGATCTAGCTGTTGTTTAAACCATGGCTTCAGAGCTTCTAGCCTCACTGTCTGACAATAATAGGACACCAGGAAAAAAACTAGAGGAAAGTATGTTTTAAGTGCTGAAATTTAGAGCCTTACAGTGCTTTTGAAAGTGAGACTTAACATGTTGCTTTCTCTTAACTGTTATTTCCCTGATTTGTAGAAGGCTGCAAATATCTCATTCCTCAATGTGTTAATGTGTTTTAAATAAAGCACTGACATGGCTGGCAACATGCTTCAGCATTTCTCTGATCTCTTCCCTAAATAATGTCTGTCTCAGAAGCACTGTGAGGATAAATTAATATGGTAGCAAATATTGTAGGTTGCTAAAAGTGTGGAATTTTACAGTTACATAGGTGAATAGGTACCTGTATCGTGTTCTTGTGAGAAATTTGATTGGGGAATTTGAGGACTTTTTAAACTGTTTTCCAGATAAACGAGGCTTCTGTTTCTTTTTTAACTTCCTGTCAAATATACATAGGAAGCCAGATTTCATTAGTTCTGTTGCTCACAGAGTAACTTGTGGGGCATTTAGAGTCAGAGCTGACAGTTTTCTTATTTTAGATTCACGGCTACTCTTGCATAAACTTTGGGATCAGCAGTGGCGAACACTTTTAGGATGGCCATGAGGAACAGTGTGTGTCATTCCAGCCTTTCCTTCATGTTTTGTGAACAGTGCTAGGTGTTTGAATTACAGAGGGAGGATTTAACCAGAAAAATGGGTCAGATTTTGTCCATTGGTTTCTTCCAACAGCAGCTCTACTCTGTGATGACGCTTGGACTGAGATCTGGATCATTTCTGTTTCCCCTGTCACCCTTTATACACTTACTTTATATGCAGACTAAGGTCCTACGTCTTTCTTCTGTGGCTCTGGGCTTCCAGATTCATTGCTTCTCCTCAAGACAGGATTTTGGCCTTGCTTTTCCTCCAGCTACTGAAATTGCTTCCCACTGTTTGATATGATTTCTAACTTCTCCCCAAAGCCATCTAGATTTTATATTTTATAAACCTCTCCTAAGTTCTATTAACTGTTTCTTTAATGAAGTCTCCTGCACCTAAAAGATATTTCACCATGTTTACTTAGCAGAAGGTAGTTCAAACACCTGTATTATGCAAGTATTTAAATTAATCCTCCTCTTCATCTTTCTAAGCCCGATTCTTAAACTGGTCATTGCAGAAGACAGGATGTTTTTCTGGATGCTTTGCCTGGTGTGATGGAACTAAAGCTAAAAGTACTAATTCAAGCATAAAAAGATGTAGTAATTTTTTTTTTTTCCTTTTTTTTCTTTTTCAGTGCAATTTTCCAGAGAACCAGGGTGGCTAGAAGGCACGCTAAATGGCAAGAGAGGACTTATTCCACAGAATTATGTTCAGTTTTTATAGCTTTGTGCATTGAACGCCAAGAAGGTGTACATGGTATCCATGGATTTTTGTTATAGTCACTTCTCTCTACTTTTGTGACTGCTTTTAATCAATGAAGAGCCTGACTATGGGTGGAAGATCCCAATCCATGTAAAGACATTAAGTGTTGCCAAATATGAATTATAAAAAATTTTTTAAGGGTTGAAATGGGTGAGGGGACAAGAGAAGGGGGATGGAGGGATAGGTTAATTTTTAATAAGGTGCTTTTTTCAGTTGTAAAGAGCAGTAGAGGTATGTTTGTTTGCAAGATAACTAGCATTTTAAGTCAAAGATTTGGTTGATCTGTGAAGATCAGTTAAAAAATATCCATTGAAGATTTTTATAAACTTAGTGTCCTGGAGATTATGCATCAATAACCATCATTTATAACAGAATATTATTTGGGTTTGGAGAAAACTGTTAGATTAAAAAAAGCTATCATGCTGACAATCAAATTATATTTCAAAGTGGAATAGACAGTACGGAACAGACACCAATAAGTAAAATAATAGGTATCAAGACATGACATTTTTCAAATGTCTTCAAAGAGCACATTCGTTTATGTTGTGTGTATGATTTCATTTATTTTATAAAGATAAGACACATGAACTTTTATTACAGGCTCCTATATGTCATGGTTCCTTTGCTACTCAAAAATATCACTGTAAATGAAATAAAATGTTATTTGCTATTTGACCTAAGTCATTCCTATGTTGGAGAATATTTTGCACTGGTTTTGTAAGTTATGATGTGAAATAATTATTGGCAGCTGTATGCAGTCAGCCTCAAGCAGGCTCCAAAATGGATGGGGAGCTTTCCTCACTCAAATAGGCAACTCTGCAAGCTCAAGCCAAAAGGAAGAGAGAATCTCTGGCTATGATCCTTGCGCATCCTGGAGGCATCTTGCCTATTATCTTTTGTCTGTCTGTCTAGCTCCTGCTTGAGCTTCCCTCTCTTCCTCCTCTGTCATTCATTGTCATCTGTAAGCTCTTAATGGTACTTCGTAGTATCAGAATCCTCAAGTAGCTGCCTCATAATTTGTAGAACGCGTTCGAGTAGCAACAGTGTTATCTGTGGCCATAGAAGAAGCTTCCAGAAATCTTGTGGTGTATAAACCTGTGCCTTGTGATTAAAAAAAAAAAAAAAAAGTTATGTGCAGTTTATCATTAATCTTTGTCTTTTTCTCTCCTTCAAGTGAGACCCTCTGGGAGGCAGTGGAGAGGACGCAGGAAAGCATGATGGGATGACATGCTAATACAGGCTCACATATTTGTTAAATTGGACTCTCTGGATTTTGAGCCATTTACTGCAGATATACTTAGCTTGCAAGTTTTTCTAACGTGATTAGTAAAGCAGTTAACAGTTAATGCTGCCTTAAGGTTGGGATGGCTTTTTTCCCCCCTTAAGATTTAACTCTATCCCATTATTTTGTTCCTTTGCCCAGACTGCACAGACCATTGGAGTATGCACAGATCATTTCCAGATGGAGCAGCGGTGGGCCAAGTCAGTGCAGCTCTCCAGCTCTAAACCTCATAGCTTGGAGGAGTTTCATCTGGTGTATTCTCGTGGTATTTGAGCAGCGACTCGCTCTGCCATACAGCTTTTAGGCAGTTCTTCTCTTGGCACATTGACTAAGTGACCCAGGCACTGAAGATGACTTTCAGAGTTCTGCAAAGGAGATCAAGTTCTTTAATTTGCTCCTTGACTTAGTTATTAAGGAGGCAGTTTCACCAGTACTCACAGCAACAGGTCGCCCGTTTCCTTACGGGGACTTGTTCACAGGGCAGAGCTGGCTCGCTCTCATGTCATGTGGGCCCACAGCTCTGTCAACTCATCTGTGGCCTCAAAGGGTCATTCTGGAGGCAGGATGGTGTTTGTGTGGCCACACTCAGTTTACATGGCTACTAGCTGATGGAAAATATTGAAGGAGGGAGAATGTAAATCTTTGGTATTAGCCTACTAGGCGTGGCAGCTCAGTATGCTGGCTTGTCAGACAGTGAAGCTGTGATAACTTGAAGCTTACAAGCTTTCTAAGTGGCTTCCATTTGTTTTGCTGTCGTTTTAAACATGCAGTGCATGTTTGATCTTGTTCTGGCTGCTGTTTTCCAAAATTCTCAGTGTATTTCTCAGCTTTAGCTCTGTGGTCTGTTTTTTACTTTTTGTTTGCTTTGTTTCCTTTTAACCGAGGTGGCTTAAGAGATGGAATAAAAGACTTAGTGTCTCTTCCATCCAGTCCTGTGACCCTGTTTGCCTTTAGTTGAGACGTTTTGAGACTCTTGTTACTTCTGGAGCCACACAGAACCCAAACCAGAGGAATACTTTTCTACTGAGAAATGATAACACTGAGCAGAGGTAATACTAATCCAGACTTTCTCACATCCTAGACGCTGTCTAAAGGCAGCATTGTGAGCTGAGCCAGATCAGATCTGGCTTTCAGGCTAACCACACTGTCTCTTAGGAATTTAGTTGTGGTTAACTGCTACCCACCATATGGGTTTCCACATCAGCCTGCTTACACTAAGGCTGAGCAGAGACTTGTAGAGCTGAGTGGCCGTGGCACGTCTCATTCCTCATCCTCACTGCTGCAAACGGTGCCCTTGTGCTGACTGGAAGTAGAGATTAAAGGATGCTGAAAATTAAGAAGCGTATAAAGAAAGTCAGGCCCCTTTCCCATCCTTGGAGACCTCCTAAAGCCAGGCCTTAGGGCACACCTCTTGTCTGCCTTTTTTTCCATGGCTTGGGAGATTTGGGAAAAGCAATGTACCATTCACTTGAGGCAGAAAGGAGGACAGGGATCAGCTGTGGAGGAAGCTGGTCAAAGGGCTCTTCTCTTTTGGCCCTGGGTCTCTCCCGGGGAACTGCTCTCATGTCAGCTGTGGGTACAGGTTCAGCTTAATCCTCAGGCTTGGTTGCCCCTTGCTATGACCCAGTTACTGTGCGGAGGAGCATGTACTGGTCAGTTTTCAAAAGCTGAGACTCCTGGTAGCGAAAGCATGAGACAGGCTCAAAATTAGAGAGGGTGAATTAGGAGGAAAAAAAAAAAAAACCAACGCAAATTTGTGGGTTTTATGCCAAATGTTTGCCTTGCTGTGAGGCCACAGATTGAATCGCTCAACCTGGGGATTAAGGTTGAATGTGTGTTTGATGAATAATTAATGGGAAAAGCTGAGACTCCTGCCTATCTGGGCTCAGTAGGAATTCACAGCCTGCAGAAGTCACTGGACAGCGTGCAGCTCTCTGTCTTGGCCAGGCAGCGTGTTCGCTCTGCTGGGTGAAAAACCCCAGGGTTTGCCGGCTGCTTAATGTTGTTAATCATTGTCCCAGCTGATCTTCATGGCAGGTTTCCTTCTGCTGCCCAGTTTTCCATCAGGAGCGACAGAAAAATCTCATTGGCTGATTTAGTCACCCTGTCATGAAAATAAGTGCTCCTGCTACCCTGCTTAACAGCTTTTGCCAGCTGAGCCTCTGCAACTGTATCACAGAAAAGACTCGGGGAGAAACTTGCCCTGCTCAATGCTCTGTTCCCTGTTCTCTTAACCCATTTCACAATTCTTACCTGGTTTGCAATATAAAGAAAAAAGTTGCTGACAGAGGGCTTACGTAGGCTGTAAATGCAGCAGCGCTAAACACAGTTTAACTGGAAGCCTTCACTGGAGAAGTTTGACCTTTTAAACTGGATGTGCCTCAGAGAGCGTTTTCAACATCAGAGTTCAACAGTGTGTTCCCCTCCGTGCTTGCAGTAACCCCAGGTAAGCACCCACGGAATCTTCATCCTATCAACCCCTAAAACTAAAGTGTCCTTTCAAAAAACCTGATGGCATGGCATGTTTTACCTAGCAAAATCTCTGAAATGAAAAGGCATGTTTTCACTCCTTTCTTTTTTATTAATACCGTGCTCATCGTAACCTTCCAGCCCCTGCAGATACCTGAAAGCAAGCAGTGTCCCAGCTTGAGGTCAGGTTACAAGTTTCATGATGGTTTTTTTTTAGGTAGTGATAGCGTTTATCTTATTTCTAGAACAGCATATGACAGATACATCTGCTTGTAAACATATGGGAAACTTTTCTTAACACTGTTGATCCTCTACTATTCTTTCCTTCTGACAATTCAGCAAACAGAAGGCAGGTGCGAGGATTTTTGGCAATAAAAAGTTTGTGTAACTTGTTATTTAAAAAACCCAAATGCAATTAAATGGTGGTCTTACACCACAGACGTAACTTTGTGCAGAACTTAGCGGTGGATTTTTGAGACAGTGCACAGAACAAACCAGGATAGCAAGAGTTTTATTTCCCCCTCTAACTATCTTACTAACTGGGAAAGACCTGACCCTGAGAAGGCAGTTTGATTTAATCACTGGGGAAACCTTATGTATATAAAATAAAATAGTGACTCCCTATTTCCCTGAGAGAAATTCTGACTTTGGTCAGTGAGTAGAGCAGCTCTAGGCTAACTGAAATGGGAGAGCAGGCTCGTTGGCTGTTGAAGGCTGCTGGGTTTGTTTCTCTTGAGTGGGATGTAGCTTGTGCACGTAACGGTGTCAGCAGGTCACCTGGCAGGCACGGTTACTCAGGTTAAGCGAACCCAGTTCCTCACAGTGGGGCATTCCTTGTTCTACAACATGAGTAGCTGCTCTCTGGCTGGAGCCATCAGATGCGCTGCCTCACCCGAATTAATACAGCGTGATGGAGCCAGATTTCGAGATGTACGAGGAGAGATGTTACGTTACACCGTTAGTTGTTGTATGTTACTTAATGTCATTTCTAGGTGAGCAGAAGCTTCTCTCTAAAGGTAACACTGCACCAGCACCTATCTGAGATTAAAATGCAAGAAATACTTGCAATCAAACCAGTTTAATTCATGTATATTTGTACAATTTGGATTAAAAAAAAAAAAAGAAAAATAGGTACTTGCAGACATTAACATAAAGACCAAACAATATTTTCTATTTATTTAAAAAGCTTTAAACATACAGAAGCAAACCCCTAATTATAAATGCATCATTATGCATAGATTTTACTGTTTACACCATACTGCTGGCTGCTTTTATTTTTCATCCAGGAATCTATTTAAACTCCAAGTATTCTTAAACATTCCTCTGAGCTTCCTGGCCTCAGAACTGCTGTCTATCTTTATCAAGTCATTGACCTCCAGCTGAAAACATTGCTCTAAAAAAAGAAAAAGTCAAATCTTTAATAAACAATTAAAAGTGCATTAACTGTAGAATTGTTTAATTTCATAAATGTTTAAACAAGTCAGTGAAAAACACGACCCTGTGAATTAGCTTTTTGCATTATTGATTGTAAAGTATCTTTTTAATAAGATTTTGATATTGCAAACTTTAGTCTTTTCTATTTTATTTTGCGCAACTGTTCAGTCGCACGACGTGTAGTATTCCTGAAATACCCACTGCAGTACATTAACACTATTTTACATTTTTAACTGTGTATACAATGCTCTTGCTGTATATCCCCGTTCCTTCTTACAACAAAATAATTTAGCTCAATGAACAGAAGCCCACTTATAAAAGGTGTTTTAGTTTGTCTTGTATTTTGCAGGAGACAAATGCCTATTTCATTCTAAACAAATTCAAAAGAACTTAACTTCCTGGTAGCTAAAAACTAGGGTTGTTTGTCTTTTTGTCTTTTTTTTTTTTTTTCCTTTTCCTTTTTTTGCTGTACACAGGTTTAGATAAAAAAAGTGATGGCTATTCTGCTTAAGTGTCCTTGATAAGAGAATACTGCCTCTTACAACATCTATATCCAATTGTATCTATTACTTCAATGCTCTCTAGCAAAAAAATAATAATCAATGAATGGTTTCATAAACAACAGGTGATTAAAGTAAAGGATTTATTATAATCTGCTTACAGTTGTTTGCAAAGACAGACATACGTTTTTGCATAAAGATATAAATTGCTTTTTAAAACTAATTTAGTGTGTTTAATTATATGAAGTTTCTGTGAATTATGAATTGTACCAAACCAAGATTAAAAGTAATAAGGTACAAAAATAGGAGCAAACAGACAACAATTTGGACTGGGACAGGCATTTAACAGTGAAGTGTAGAATATGGCTTTGCTGTTTTAATCAAGCAAAGTTACTCTGAGACAGAAAAGGAGGCAGTAACTTTGTTAATATAAAAAGCTGCTGCAGACTGTATTCACCCAGAACCTGGCTTTGAAATTTTCTATTTTAGACTTTAAAAAAAAAAAAAAAAAAAAAAAAAAAAAAAAAAAAAAAAAAAAAAAGTAAATGAGAAGATGGATGTATGACTGTGTCTTTACTGTAAACAACCAGTCTGCATGCTGTGTATCTCACGTTGGAAGTTTGGCTTTCATATTGCTGTGCAGGTCAGTATTTAAAGATCTGCCTATGAATTAGACTTCCAAAATGCAAATAATATATGTATGTATATATTTATATATAAAAAAACCTCTCTGAATACAGTCTTTACAGATTTACCCATTGCATAAGGCAGGTGTCATTTAAAAAGACAAGTAGCACTGACTGTCTTCAGTGCACCAAACCGCACCTCAAAATTTGGACTCAGAAAGGGTGTAAGAATTCTAAATTCGACCACCATTTAAAAGAAATGCTACATTCTGACCGGCCAAGGGACAAACTAGAGCTCAAAAATACCAGTGGCACCCAGAGAGAACACTATAGATTAGGACTCTGAAAAACTATTCTATCTGAACATGAGCACATGGTAGCAACAGTTGAGCCTCAGAAAAGTTCACCTGTCCTCTATTCTACTCTGAAATTTTGTATTTGCTTATAAATTGTGAAATAGCGAAAATCACCTCAAAAATTTTTCTTTGCAGTCTTATTCTAGAGAAAACATTTTTGAGACAAAATCAGACCAACTGAGTTGAACTTGTAGTGTGAACAGTTGTCTTCTCAGATGTATTCTGATTGTTACAAAAATGTTTACAAAATTACACACCGTTTTAGTTTATCACTAGAAATTCTACTCAGCTAATCGGCCCTTATCAGTACCTTACCATCCCTCTCACCAGTACAAATCTGTTCAATATACTTACTGTAATGATCTGCATGTTCCCTTCATCATAACCAGAAATCGCTCTCCCCCATCTGAAATAATAACCTGACCTTTTAAGATGGTTTATGTATCCAGTATTCAAAGGAAAAACAAACAATCTGGGAAACCTTAATACAAAAAGAAAAATCATTCAACATCTTACTCACCCCCTGTTCCCCTGAGAGAGAAAGGGAAGAGAGAGCAAGAACTCGCTATATCGTTAAACTGGCAAAAGCTTTGGAGAGACCGTAATTTGTCTTGTTAAATGAAACCTTTGTAGAGTGGCAAACACAACAGAGTGTAGTTTCCTACAGAAAGATGAAGCGGGATCTCTAAGATGTGCTCGAGTCACATACGCTTGCAAGCGAGACAAAAAGGAGGAAAATATAGAGGAAAATAGAAAGGCTTAAATACAAATGAAAAGGTTAAGTGTGGTTATTTACAGTAGGTTCTGTAGTATGGTAAATTAGATATGATGCTAAAAAAGGCACAGCTTTCCCTTTCTTAAATACACTGTAAACGGTTCATTATGCATGCAGAACATTTCACTTTACAAAAAAATTACCTTGTTTGTTTAGACAAAGATAGTACTTAAATAGTCTCCAGCAAAATAGAGTTCTTTCAAAAATACTTTCCCATTCATCCTATTAACCATTAAAGATTTTTTTTGTCTCATTTACAAAAGTTCCTTACACCTTATTTCAGGTCCTTCACAATTTATACATACAGCAATGTACAGTACAGCAAAAGACTGCAAAAAATTATTTGTAAAGCCAGCACAATAGATACTATAAATTGATACCAGGGCATTTGTTTTCACACCTTATCCTTTTTAATTAAATAGTAAATGGACACTTAACACAGTGTATATCCTCTATGATGGGATAACATGGGAGAACAAATGCCACAGGTGGGGATAACAGAGTATTCCACACCAAATGTTCTGTTATTACTTTACACATTAGGGTTTGTGTGTGTGTGTTTGTGTGTGTGTGTGTGTATATATATATAGGTTTTGTTTGATTTTTTTACAAGAAAAGAATATTAATGCCCCATATTGACTTTACGTTTTATGTGCAAACCAAGGGTAAGCTTTAAAAAGTTCTCATTAGTTCTCGAACCCTTTTAAAACAAGCAAACAATACCAGAAACTACATGGCATATTTAAAACTCCATCTGTTAAAATATCAAAATCAAAGAGTTATTGACTAGATATGGCTTTTCATCCAGAGGAACAGGAACATTTTCTAAGTGTTTTAGGGTTTATGGGGTAAATTTCCAAACATCTAGGTCTTGCCCAATCCGAGACAACTGCTTTCCATTCCCCAAACCCTTCATATGATTTTTAGACTATTCAGAGACTGCTGAACAAGTGTAAATAGCATGTTTAAAATATGGTTTCTTGGGTCCTTCATGGGTGTGGAATAACACAGGGAAACTTAAGGCAAAGTTCTTCCATTTAAGACATTTTCTATCACTTCCTGTGAAAGTACAGGGGCTTGGCATTCCCAGATTCCACCTTTGGTAGCTGGTCACTGATGATTTCCACCAGCATGGCTGGAAACTCTACTTTCAGTGCCTGAGACTCTCGGAAGGTGTAGAAACAGAATTCCAACAAGTCACTAACAAGCTGGAAGAGAGAAAGAAACGTTTTTTAGGAAAAACACAGAGAATTTTGCATGTAAAAACAACAACTTATTGATATGGATTATTACCAAGAAATGGCATCTTACTCTGACTTGGCAGTCTAGTTGCAGGGGTTAAGAAGCAAACCAAAGACCTCAAATCCCAAAGTGCTACTTAACTCATTAAAAAATACACTAACTAAGAAAAACCAAGATACCATAGGTTTGATTTTTTGAGCGTAACTGCACTTTGCTTTTCGCTAACCAGCAACTGGCCACCACGAAACCTATAGGCACTCCACGTCTATGAAAACAAAGCCTTCTGCCCAGAGGGAGAAGATCAGCCACAAATTCTTGTATCTCCAAACCTTGTCTGGATTCATGTTCGTTAAATCAGATCATTTGGTTAGCTTCAGCGCAGTCTCCAGAGGCCACAACCTACCACTGCCAGAGCAGCTGATGGTTTTAGCTCAGCAACATGAACACTTGTAGCAGTTCAGGTTTTACAGCGTCACAGTCCCTATGAAAATGAACATTTCTATTTATCTATAAATGCATTTTCTTAATACACACATCCCAAGCTTTTTTTCCCGCTAACTACTAATTAAACTAGAGAGGCAGTATTTACAGAACTATTTCTTCTTGAAAAAAAAAACAAACCACCTAAAAGTTTTCTCTTTTTGTAGTGGTGGCTAACAGCACACTTTTGCTTTCTCTCAGTGGATTAAGCATTATCTAAACGAATCTCCTAAAGCCTTCCAGTATGTTGGACCCTTTGCAATCTTTAAAACACAACATAAGTCAGTCAAGAGGCAGAGGCACGTCAGCTTCTGAGGCATCTGTGAATGAAGTGGGTCTGGGTTTCAGTTAGCATATTAATTTCCATGGCAGTTCACCAAATCACTGTGTTGTAGGATTGAAGAAAAACTAGAGCCATTGCTGTTTAAGAATTCAGAAGTTATGTGCGGCTTAATTTTGGTGCATTTTGACCTTGCAAAGGACTTAAACTACACAAGCAAAAGTGGTTTATCAAACACAAGTGTGCTGTTTCAGTTCTTTAACATGTAGAGTTGCACTCCGCAGTAAAGCCCCTGTTAGAGTAAATAAAAGTGGACTTCTGGAAGGCAGAAAAGGAAATTAAAAAAAGAAATAAAATACAGGCAGCAACAGACTCCTGTCCTGTACAACCCTAACTTATTACTTATTTTAAGGGCTTTCACAGCTGTGCTTGCAAACATATAAGCAATTTATGAATTGCTGAGGTCGCTCGGAACGCGTGACACTGCTGTTGAGCACCACACGCATCTCTCTGCTGTTGCTTAGCTCATTCCTGACGGTCTGGCATGTCATGAAGCACTGCTAATTACACAGATGCCTGCTAAATAAGTAGCATAGACGACATTTTGTTTTCAAGGGAAAAAAAATGCTGATGTTCAAAGGTTTAACTTTACCCATTAGGAGGAGGTTTCTTCTGCATCTACCGTGTGCCAAAAATATTCCAAATGCAACAGTGAACCAGAGTGAAGAAAACTCTCTCTCAGTACAACTGCCACTACCTCCTCCCTACCTGTGTCATCAAGTAGCAGCAAACGAAGCCCTGCTGCTCTTAAACTTCACCACAAGTAGTTTCACATCACTGAACGTAAGTGCAGGCATTGGGGTCATCTCTGCCACCCTGCCAGCCATCCCGACAGTGCTGATGGCTCAGCTCCTGCCCAATTCCAGCCCATTCCCACCTCATCGCCCTCCTGTGAAACCTCTAAGTGCAGCAAAACTATGAATTCTGCCTTTTTACCAAACTTTTAGTAGTATCAAGTACTTGTGTGTGTCTGGCAATTATGTGGACAAAAGGGGAGATGAAAAACGACAACTGTTAAGACGGTCTATACATAATCTATACAAAAAATGAGTTGGCAGCGCAGTGGGGGAAAAGGGGGATGTGTGTAGCACATTATGAGTCTCAGCACAGAGGAGAAAGGTCAAGTTCACACAGCCATTTAAAAGAAAATCCCTAGAACCCACCATCACATAATATTGGGTTTGGAGCCCTAAGGATAATATATATTCTATGCCTATTTAATCTTTCTTAAGCAAAGTTACCAGCTTTAACATACTTGACAAAAATCAACCTCCTTAAGAAAATGGGAGCGTTGGGAAGCACAGTGCCTGCGTCACAAGGAGCAGGTCAGGAACTGCAACCTTAAAAACTTTGGGGCCGGGGAAGTATTTCTAACTAATTTAAAAGAGGAACGAATGTGGGAGAACTGAAAGCCAACTCAGAGGTACTAAAAAGTAAACAGTACGGTGAAGGTGAGCTAGAGAAGGCTGCAAGACCCAGACCTGAGCCACCAGCAGTGCTTTTCTCCTTTTTCTTGTCGTACCTTTTCAAAGGTTCCATCTGCCCCCCGCCAGCCCAGCAGCCTTGGTGTGTGGATGCACCAAAGGGATGAAAAATTCAGATTCCACAGGCAATTCTGACATTTGAGTACCTGCCCCTGCATTCCCAGCAATGCCCGTCTGACACAGTTTGGATTTATAACAGGTAAATACTTTAGTGAGTCTTTTGCTTTGAAAGAGAAGTTCCCACTTCAGTAAGGAAATGAAAAAGTTTCTTTTGCTTTCTTTTGTCACTGCAGTGGCAGTGCAGATACACCACATTTACAAGTGAGGTAACGCGAGCCATCCAGCGCCTCTCCGTCTGGCTTATGAATTTTCCAGATCAAAATACGCTTCTGATTGTTCTTCAAAGGCTCGTAAACGCCCTGTGCTCTAAGAACTGACTATGCTTTTACCCGACCGCTTCCACTCTCTGCTTTTGGGAGTTTATATCAGAAATGCTGACGCCTCTTCCAGCAGAGCCGCATGGAAGGCAGCTCTAAGCGGTGTGAACGAAAGCAAAGTTGTTTTCACAAGCAGCGCAACAGTGACTAGAAATGTATTTACTTTTCCAATCTCTAATTATTCCGGCTCCTGAAGAGTCGCAGGTCAGCAGAGTGCTGTTAAGACCACAACTAAAATAATTCGTGTTTCCTCGGGATGCCACCAGGACACTGTTCTTGCCGCTTTAGTAGTCAGTTGTTGAACTCTTTGGAGCTGGGAGTGGCTCGGTACCTCCAACAGCACCACAAGCCTTTCCCTGCACGTGGGGGAATGGGGTCAGCGCCGGGGGACAGGAGCTCAGGTCCTGGGCACCTCCCAGAATGCGGACAAATACCACCACGGCAATTAATATGAGCTGGGTTGTGGGGATGCAGACACAGAGGTGGGGATGATCATGTCCCTGTCACCCAGATCACTGTAAGACATAACAGCTCTTCTGCCAGCAAGTGGATCAGCTGTTAGGTACAACCTTTCGCCACTCCAGTCATTAATTACAAAGCTTTCTCTCATCGCGACCCTGCAGAGGGTGCGCTGCGTTTAAACATTTTTCAAGGCTGCAGCAGTCTTAGTAATTCTGAGAATCAATCTTTGTATTTGTGCGTTATATGAAGCACCTCTGAGAAACAGGAGTATTAATCAAACATCATTTTCTGTTATTACGGTGGGGTTTCCATAAAATGGACTTTTTCCACCCATACTGTTCTTCATAATTGAAAAAATGATTCCTTTAATGAAGTCTCTGAAGTTAATATGGTTGCAGTGACCTTTGAGCACTTGCAGAATTTTTACAGCGAAAGAATTTATTGTCGTTTGGCAATCTCCTTGTATTTCCAGATATGCTGAGAAGGGTCTGATGTGCAAAGGTGCACATTTCTGTGCTCAGTTCGTTTTCCGACTTCAAAATCTCTCACCACCTCTGAGTGTGGTATGAAAGCCCACAGTCACTTCTCTATCAGGAGCATCTTTGTGATTAAGCCTACTGATACAGCAATTAAGACAGCAGTAGGGTAACAACACAGTGCTGAGTAATTTCTTCCTATTATTAGCTGCAGCTATTACTGTCAGAAACCTCAGTATTTTCATATAAAAATGACACTCCAAAAACTTTGTCCCTTTCAGGAATGGCTCTCTGCCCATTTTCTAGCAGGTATGTGCTGGGAGGAGGCAACTTTGCAGCTCTACACAGTGCAACCGTGCAACCTACCTGCACCACGCCAGGGTCCCTGAGAGGCCAGGCTGCTGCCCACCAGCTGAGCAGTGGTATATTGCCTCTTGCTTTTAAAACCTACGTGTTTCAAACCATGCAGGAGTCGGGAGCCTGCTGCCCTGCTAAGGTAAGAAGCAGCAGGCAAGGCCAGCCAGCTCCTTTCCCCAAGGCAGCGAAGAGTCCTGGGTGAATTCAAGACTATTGCAACCTCCTGCTTTTTCCCCTTCGTGAGGTGGATACAAAGCTCCTGCTTCAAAACAGGTAAGATTAGGTTAAACCACTGCCAGCCAGGTCTTGATTATTCCATCATGACAATATTCCCTTTTGCTCCTCGTCCTATGAAAATCCCATGATGTGAATTAATTATTATTCCAAGGGCTCAGGAAGTAAATTATCCCCCCCCCCCGGATGGCTCACGGGCTGATTCTCAGAGGTACAGATGTCTTTTGGTGCCAGGGTGGCTAATTCCTAGCTGCTTATGAAATCTTGAACTCTAACCCAAAGAGTAAAACGTCCCACAAGCACAGGGAAAACAGAGGAAGAGCAAGGGATGAAGCCTCTGATTAAATGTATGTGCTGTATTTACCTCACGCTAGCAAGGAGTAAAAGGTGAGTAAAATGCTTATGGATTAGGCACTAACAGTACCTGACCAGAGCAAATGTGGCACCTGGTTCTGCCTGGCCAGGTGCATTTATCTGATTTAGGAACTGCACTCATTTCTTTGGGTTTTCTTCATAAACATCTGCAGAGCGAAAGCACAGCACCTGACACCTGGACATGACACAGAAGAACCTGAGTTGAATCCATTCCTATGCTTGGAGGATGCACGCAAACCTACACTATCACACACCAACAAAGCATCCTCAGCCCTTGGCCAGAGTAAATTTTGAGCCAAGTCTCCCTTCTCTTCTGTCAAG